AGTAATAAACAAATATATTATGAAATTTGAAATAAATATTTAAAATAATATTTAACATTAATATATCGAAGATTTCTTTTTAGAAATACCAAAATTTCCAATTTATCAGAGATCAGCCTGCGACGATGGCAACTGTCAATATCACCAGCTTCACTAAAAACAGATTCTGAAGAGATCATCGCACAATTTTATAAACAGAATGCGCAAAAATATAACAATATGGCAAAATGTTTATTAATTAATTATTATTATTAAAAATATGGATTTCGATTTTATTTATAAAAATAAATGATTTTAGATATAACCTTTTTAAAAAATTTATAACATTTTATTTTTGTTAAAAAAGCCATTTTATATCGGATCAAATCGGAAAATTTTATAATATTGGCCGATGACCGATATTTTAAAATGAGTGAAATATCGGTCCGATCCGATAAAAAATATCGGTGCATCCCTAATCTCAACAAATGTTTCGCTATAAAATCCATTGCGATAAACGACATTCGAGGTAAGAGTTTCGAGATAATAGTTTCACTGATTGACATGAAACCGTAGCATTATCTAGTAGTGTTGTTAAATGGTTCGTTTTGAGCCACTTTTTTAAAAACGGCTAACTCCATATTTTATCCAGAAAACTATTAGCAAGCCTGAAGATTTTGTTCATAGAAGGAACAAAGTTCTAGACATATATTATCGAAATTTCGATATTATTTTTCTGGTTAAAATATTGAGTTAGCTGTTTTAAAAAATCGGCTCAAAAAGAGCCGTTTAACAACACTAGTATCTAGTCAACAATTCTAGTTGTTTGTAATAGGATCGGGATTGCATCTATATCGAATAGATACAAAATTTGTGAATCAACATAACCCTATAATGAGAAATGACCAGTTAGTCTTATATATTTTATTTGCCAAGTGCGTTTATATCTCAAGATGCCAATTCTTTCTGGAGAAATTCTGACCTAATTTAAAAAAAACGGGCTAATTAGACCCATTTTTTTTAATTTGAGGCATTTAGCAGACAAAAATAATTTTATATTTTCAAATCCTCCGAACAAGGGTCTGCAATGGGCGAATTTTTAACATGCCCAAAATAATTGGCGGACGGTATAACAATTTTTAAACAACGGGCAGGACTAGAAGGGTGGGTTAATATTTTTAATTTTGTTTGTTATTTAATTAGCTAAATCTTTTTTTATTAAAAATTAGTGGCAAAATAATTTAATAAATAAAAACCTTTTTTTAGAAATTAAAATGTTGCTTTTGCATTTTCGTAACTTATTAATAAACAAAAACCTATTCTAAGAAGTGAATAAAGTATTCCTCTTTCTTTTTTGTTAAAAAATTTGAAAAAATATAATAACAACATTTTTCTCAGAAATTGATATTTTTTCTTTTTTTATACTTGCGTTTAATCAAGGCCTGAAAATTTTTAGAAAAGGACTAACTTTTTTTACATTTAGAAGATTATTTCTTATCTGGTTTTATTTAAATTATTGTTTTTTAAAAAAGGCTCATTTTTGTATGACCAGAGCTTTAAACCTTGAAATTTTCATTATCATTCTATATGCATAAAAAAATAGAGATGAGTCATACAACAAATATTAGAATAGACACTATTTAAGTTAATGGGGAATACTATGTAAAATTTGTGAAGAAACCCGATAAAATATTGACAAAATACTTTACCATGAAGCCTCGAGATTTGGCAGAGGTCCAAACCTTTCTGCCATACATGAGCAAAATATCCGGCTTACATAATATTATTTTGGCTAAAATCTTAATCGGGCAGTTTTTAAAAATCGGGTTTATTAACAACACTATCGAGTTGAATCGAATAATGAGGGGTACACCTGGTATTAATAAGTAAACACCAAGCTATCTCAGAAACAGTTTGTAAAATATTTTTTTCGCTTCCCAAATAAAATTATATCTAGTATCTGAGTTGTGGAAATAATAAAATATTTTGTGAAAATACAGAAATAATCCTAATTTTTAATTTAACTCTTTGGTGTGTCTTGTAAGCTTTTATAGAAAGAACGTTTTTCTGTTGGCCTAGGTTTATTCAAATTTAGAAACAGGCTTCGACTAGAAAAATCTGAAAATTTCTTTTTAAATATTTTAATGATAATATAGTATATACATATCATGTTTGTATTATTATATTTATTATTTAAAAATATATTTGAATATTGTTTGTTGGTATGGTATTACAAATATATATAAAATTAAATAAATTAATGCAAAATTATTTTTAATTTTTAAATTTCGGGAAAAGTCATTGAATAATTTTCAGTTTAAATAATATTCAAAAGGAATTTGTATTAAAATATCAAGTAATTTGTAGGAAGGCTATGAACCCGCCCTGAACCAGAGCCCTGATATTTTACTGAAAACCACAAACCTTTTTTAATTTTTTAATCTTATAAAATTTCTTTATTTTATTTTTATTTTAATATAAAAAATTTGAACAGTCTTAAAAAATCTATATTAAAAAAATAAAATGTAAAATATTTATAAAATATAAAAAGCATTAAATATGTATTTTTTATTTTCAATATTAAAAACGTTTTTGTGAAAATTATTTTTCGTGGAAGCGTTTTTTAGTATATCCATTTTATGTATAATTAAAATTCGAACCCTGAACCCACCTAAACCCGAACCTGATTCAGAGATTTTTCACTGAACTCTTTTTAGAAGGAGGATCCACAGTCCTGTTTGTAAGTAATGAATTGATATTTATCATGCCTAATTTTAAAAATGGTTTAAATCAATATTATTTCTAAAAAATCCCTTGATTAAATCGATTTTTATTTTCATTAATTTTTTTTTGCAGATATACCTATTTTTCTCAAGCATATTTTAACTAAAATAGTCATTAAAGATAGGTGGGTTTACATTTTATATGAGCGGACGTGGGTTAAAAAAGGTTTAAATAACAGGCAAACAGGTGAAACACTTTTAAGGTTGAGAGATAAAACATTTTTAAAGGGCGTAAATTTGTTTTTTCAAAATTTTGAGCAAGGGTAAGATCAACATTTTTAAGGCATTGGACATGCAGGCAGGTAAAAAAATTCAAAAATCCTATGGAGACTAATATAAAATTTTTAAACTATGGGAGTGAGTACTTGTGAGGTAGAAATCAGCCTATTACAGATTTCTAGTCCGGACTGCCAGTAATAGACTTATGGTGAGTGGCTCTTTATATTAAAAAAATTCAACATTCCTCATATACATAACGAATAAATCAATACATGTCAAATCAAACACCTTTTGGCAGCCCTCATTCAATTTTAATAAAAAAACAGGAATGTTATATGTATTCTAATTATATCAAAAACGAAATTTTTAGGGCTATTTTCAAAAAAGTATCGGATAGGGCAGATACCTGTATAAAAACCGATCGGATCTTTTATATTGTTTATTTTATTTACATTATTTTAATATTCTCAAAATGGGGTCAAATTAAGGAGTTGCCCAAATTATTAAAAGTCCACATTAGACAGTTTCGATTGCATATTGCAATATTTTTGTTTTAAATATAGTTTATATTAATCTTGTAATTATGGAATTAAATATCATTTGAAATGGATTTTATCTATAAATATTACTGATATTCTAGAGGAATAAAACCTTTGCAGTCCAGGATGCTAGCTTTTACCCTGGCTTCTAACAAAAATATAACTTGCAGTCACTATCATTCCCCTTTTAAATCATCTTTTCTCCATATATAAATATGTCATAACTTAAGTCTTGGAATTAATTTTTAGTAAACTTTGAAAATTTCATAAGTTTCAGAATACTAGCTATTCTAAAATTACATGAATACACATAAATACTAACACAGGATAACTAAATAATCTCTCTAGACTTACAAACAACTTATTAAGAATATTTAATATTCCAAAAATGTAAAAAAATTATATATATTATTCCAAAAATATAAATAATAATATAAATTTTTAATTTTAGTAACAACTCTATTATTATACATTATATGTTGGTACAGCCCTCTGGGCGAGGAATTATTTTTCATGCCAGACAAATTGTAAAAATATTTATACGAGTAGAGCCAAAAGTTTTGAAATGTTTTAAAGCTGATTATTAAGCATAAATTTTTCAAAGATCTGAGTCTTATTTTAACTCTTGTTTTAGAACTTGGTGTAAATCTAGCTCAGTTGAAAATTCTAAAATGAAGGCCCCATTAAGTCTGCTATAAATTTTTTTTTATTCAGTCTGTTCAGAAAAATTATTATGTGCAACAGCCTATAATCATATTTCAAGGTATAGATTTGTCTAATTGGCATGGCCATAAAAATATTTTGCACAAGATGTCTAGCTTTGAAATCTTTTTGGCAGGTCTGAGCTATACCAACTTCTAATTAAAAATACAACTTTAGTTAAAAAAAAATTTTTTATACAATATTATAATTATGTATTCGGTTTTATTTATAAGTCAAATTAAGAAAATTAATTAAAATTTTTTATCATATGATGTTAAGTTTTATGAAATTTTTATATAAATACAATTTGAGAAAAAAAAACCCAAAAAAGAGTTGTTGGTATGATATAAGATCAAAGGAGAATAAAGGGGAGAGTAGCAAGCTTGTTAATAAAAAATGGTATAAAAAACTGATAAACTATAGATTTATATTTTTATTTATCCTATTTATTATACAATATAAAAAATATAATTTTTAGGAAAAAATATTGTATATCACTTTAATAAGATAAAGCAGCTTCTTCCATAGCTATGTCATTAAAATTTATATATAATGTTAAGTTTGCTCATTTCAAAAGAGATCTTACATAAGTAAGCAAAATTAACAGTCTAAATTTTATATAGTTAATAAAGATCAAGTTGCCTTGAAATAGTAAATATAAAATAAAAATATATTTTAGTACTATACCATATAAACAAGATATACATAAACTAAGATATAAAATAAGTAAATGATCTTAGTATATATTTATAATAGTATTTTCTTATAAATAATTTACTGTAGATAGTTGCAAAATGAGTCAAATTTGTCCCTTTATTGTATATTTTAACTTTGTCTATAGTACATCCATTTTTTATCTGTTCTGGCTTTAAACTAACTGATATTTCTACTGATTTTCCAACTTGTAAGTGAATATCGGATTTTGGATATATATCTTAAGAAAATTTAATATTAAAAAAAAAATTAATAACCTGCAATATCAAATAAAGCTTCATGTGATATTCCAATAATTAGTATAAAAATAAATATCTTCATTTTGTACAATAAATTATAATATATCTCAAATTTTTATTAGAGAAGAAATACATATATACATTAAGATGTCATTTTTATATCACTTAAAAAATGTATATAGAAATTGGCACCTAATCGAATAGATATCAATCATTTGTAATTATCCACTTTTATTTTCAATTTCACAACGACACTATTATACAATTTTTCAGAGACATGCGCCTAGAAAACGACTATATGGGGGAGAAGGTCAAAAATTTAGGTACTTAAAATGATTATTATTTGATGGTAAGAACATCGCCCCTTTCGCTATGTGAAATATTACGCTTGGACTCTCTCAAATCACACCCAAGCAGTGTCGTTAGGGGAGGGGGGTGCGCAGGGGCTCGAGCCCCTTAAAAAATTTGAATAGCCCCCTGAAGCAAAAATTTTTTTAAATGGAATCTTAATCCCTTGAACTAAAAATAAATTTTTTTGATTGCCCCCTGAACGATTTCTTTTGTAATTCTATTTAGTAATTAATCGATTTAATTTTATTATTTAAAAATTAATAGGACTGTCTAAATATTTATTAATTGAATACTATTTTAAATATTAGATTAGATTAATACATATAAATTATATTTTCACACTGTCAGCTTGCAATCAAATTTTGTATTAAAAATATAATATCAATTACTAACTAAATATTAATTTAGCTTTAACAGTTGAAGTTTCTGACTTTTATTATTTAAATTATTATTTTACCCTAAAAAAATATAATAATATATTATTTGAAAATTAACAAATTTAATATTGTAATTAGCCGAGTTCAAAATGACTAATCAACTGTATATTTATTTAAAATTTTATTATCATACCTTAAGAATATTTTCAAGGTCCAAATAAGTATGAGATTTCTTTATAAAAAGTAAGTAGACCTACAGCTGCTGAGAGCATATGATAGCATATTTTAGATAAACAATAATGGTCAATGTGTAGTCCTTTATATATCATTTAAAATGGAAGATAATCTTTTAGAAATTTATATTCACCTCAATTACTTATTTTGCTTCCATCATGTCATCTAAAATGAAGCGCTAACCACTATATAGTTTTATGATTTGGATTGGTCGTTTATACTCTCTTCTTCGAGAATTGTTGATTTGGTTTAGACCTATAAATATTTCTTTATTAGTCCATTTAATAAAACATTGTCTAAAATGGTAACAGAGAGTTATAATAGTTTAACCTTTTGTCAATGTAATGCTAAGAATTATATTATTGCATTATCTGATTTTTAAAAACTATTATCAATTGAAGCATATGCATGAATAAATATTTTTTATCACTTGTAATTCTTTAGACGCAAATTTTTTTTATATCAGCAATCGAAAATATTTTATATTGTAATAAATAGATTTTGTATTAAAAAATATTATTTAAATGTCTTGTATTGTTTAATTATTTATATGCCATTTTATTTTGTATGGATAATATAATAAATGACAAAATATGAAATTCAGAACAATTGTTCAGAGTTAACAAATTTTAATTCACTTTTTTTCATATATAAATGCTTTTTTCCAAAAATGTATAAATTATGATGAATAGTTATAGTTTAATTTACATTCTTTCTTTCAAATTATGGTTTAAGATATATGCATATATTTTGAGTGGTCAGGGAGTAGGGGGAGGACTAAGGGGGATATTTTTTATTAGCTTAAAATGATATTCACAAAAAGTGATAAATTTCTGAAGGGGGGGGGGATTTCCCCTTGCCCCCCCCCGGCTACGCCTATGATTTAAAAGGAATAAATTTTATAAATTAGAATCTAACAAACATCCATGCCTCTTTCCTAAGACCTCTTTTGCAATACTAAATAGGCGCTCCTCAGGAGCACTAGAGGGAAGCGAGGTATTGTATTTTATAAAGATATATTTTAACCCTTCAATACTCTGGTGGGGTATATGAAACCCCAGGCATGCTAGAAAATTACATAAAAACGGTTAAATATTATGATCTTCAGTAGCTTCATCAAATATATCTTAGAATCTATTCCAAATTTCATATATTTCGGTTGAGTAGTTTTTAAGATATAAGTATTTTTTGACTGATTGGGGTTTGTGAGACCCCACCAGAGTAAATTTTTATATTCTATATTTTTTTTTATATTTGAATATATGTGTAATTTTTTTTTATATTGAAGAATAAAGATCCATATTATGAATTATCATGATTATATGATAGATAAATTATCCTCATCATCTTTAATCTAGGCTTAAGGAATAAAAATATTTAAATATTTTACCAAGCTTAAGGTTAGATCTATCTTATATCCAAATATCAAATGAAAATAATGAATATTACTTGAGATATATACATTTGAAATTGGGGTCTATTAAACCCCACCCGAGTACTAACGTCATTTTTTTCACCGGAGTATTGAAGGGTTAATTAAGGGAATTTCTTAAAAATAGTAATTTTGGTATCATTATTTTAAAAAAATTGCCCAATATATTATCTTCCTGATGATCAATTTCATGGAATCCAAAAAAATCTTCCAAATCATTTTGAAAGATTTTTTACTTTTTGTTGCTTTTTTAGATTGAAGCTGCTCACTAATTTAAATAGTTTTATTTAAACACAAAAGACATTTTGCCCTTAAATTTATTTGATCATTTGGATTAACATCTTTTAAAAGTTTAAAATATTTTTTGTATGATGGAAATGGAAATTCGATTTCTTCATCTATGATCTCTAAATCCATAATATCTAAAACTATTTTTTGTTATATATCTATAAAATGAATATTAATATGACTTACAAGATTTTCCAAAAAATTTTCAAAATAAAAAGGAAAAACTTTATGTTTAATATATAAAATGATTAGATGAAAAACCAATATAAAACTCGGCTAAACATTTAATAATGGATAAATTTAAATAAAATATAATTTCATTTTTATTGAATTTTAATTAACAAATATTATTAATATTTATAAAATAATTTAATTTATATATTAAATTTAAAGGAGCGGTGGAGCGGCGCTCCTCCAGTCCAGCCCTAAAAGGAGCTAGCTCCCGCTTCCATTCCTCAATTTTAAAAAGGAGGGCTCCAGGTGCTTTAGAAAAAATGTAGCGGCGCTCCTTAACAACTCTGCATTCCCTTTTCTCTTTTCCCTTTTATTTTTTTTCCCTTTTCCCTGTTCCCTTTTGTTCTTCTCCCCTTTCTTTTCTCTTTTTCTTTCCTTCTCCTTTTTCCTTTCCTTTCCTTTCCTTTCCTTCTCTTTTTTTCTTTCTCTTTCTCTTTCCATTTTACTTTTTTTCCCGCTTTTCCTTTTTTTTATCTTTCTCTTTTAACTATCTCTTTTCCTTGGCTTATTTCTTTCCCCTTCACTTTTTCATTTTCTTTTCCCTTTTCCTTTTCCATTTTCTTTCCCCTTTTCTTTACCTTTACCTTTCCTTCTTCTTTTTCATATCTTTTTTCTGCCCTTACCCTTTTTATGTTCTTACCTTTTTCTACACTTATTTTCTTTTACTCCCTTCTTTCCATTGCATTTTTTCTTTCCTTTTCTTTTTTCTCATTCCCTATACTTTTTCTTTCCCTTCTTTCGTTTTTCCTTTCCTCTCCCTCCACCTTTTCCTTTCAATTCCTATTTTCCTCTCTTCCACTAACTTTCCTCTTTTCCTTTTCCTCTACCTTCCATTTTCCTTATCATTTTCCCTCTCTTTCATCTTTTCCTTTCTTTTGCCTTTTCCTTTTTTCCCCTTCTCTTTATTCTTCTTTCCATTTCCATTTTATTTTATCTTTTTCTATTCCTTTCTCCTTTCTCCTTTTCCTTTCCTTTTTTTCCTTTCTCGTTTTCTTCCATCACTTTCCCTATTTTTTCCCTTTACTTTTCATTTCCTTTTTGTCCCCCTTCATTCCTTCCTATCTAGGCACACAGTTAGTAAAAATATAGGACGAGCGATTTGATTTATTTAATTAGTGAGTCTATTATATTCATTCTATATTTAATCTTGATACCATTTTCGGAAACTTTCTCATTTGTTAATATGTTTTTATTTCAATTATCAAATGGATTAAGGCATTAAAATGTTTACTAGTTAATCAATATATATTATTTCTAAACTTTTGAACTACTGCTTTAGAAAACTTTATGCTTAAGACTGTGTCTCAATATAAGAATATTCATATGAAATATATAAAAATATAACTTGATTCAAAATATTAACGAGATCTTAATTATCTTAAACCGAAAATAATAAATAATACTTATAAAGATCGTAGAATCATACAATTCAAAAATATTATAGTGAAAAAGGAATGTAGACATATTTGATTTTTGCATCGCATAATAAATCTGATATTAATAACTCAGGTTAAAGCATGGTTTTTATTTCGCTTATAACTTGTTTCTGTTTATTGACTGGAACTGATTGCATTACATATTGACGCACTAATTTTAATACATAAATTTTGTTCTAGCATGATGTCAATTTTGGCAATTTTTTTTAAATTCTGCCAATAATGCTTTTTTCTTTTAACTATCTACCGAATGAGTTGAAGCACTAAAATATAACAAATACGCATTAATTAATATAAACTTCAGAGGTAATGCTCCTAGAAGTTTGGCTGACATCATGCTTAAAGCCTGATATTCAAGTTTTTATTGGGCTTGTAATTCGATTATTGTAGCTGACAAAATTGATTTAAAACTAGGCACTAAATATTAATACAGACCAGTTATTTATAACTTTTATACTCTCCATTCTGGCATTGGCAATTGGTTACCAGTTAGAAATTAATTTTTTCATATAGATAATTTTTTTTTAGCTTTCACCTCTGGTGGTAAGCTCTTTCAATATCTCTCTCCACTTAATGTCATTCATGCTATCTCTTTTATCTAATTTATACTTCTTCATATTGGTTCTAACTTTATGGCTCCATTGAAGTTTCGGCCTTCCTCTTTTACGTTTACCCATCACTTCCAAACTCAAACTTATTTTCTATATAGTTAGACATGTGCGCCGTCGGTTAAATGCGCCGCCGCCAGTGATTTTGACTACGCCGACGCCGCGCGCCAGAAATATTAAATATTTTTTGAATTATTAAAAAA